GCTAGACTTGATGGTGTGCCCATGTCAAGAGTTTTGGTTGACAACGGAGCTGCTGTCAACGTGATGCCAACTCGTATGTTAAGGAAACTTGGGAAGAGCACTGGTGACTTGATTCCTACGGATATCTTTGTTACAAGTTTTAATGGAGGATCAACTTCAGCAAGAGGAATTTTTCCAGTCATGGTGAGAGTGGGTAGTCAAGAAAGGATGTCTGCTTTCTTTGTTGTCGATGGGGTGATAAGTTACAATGCTTTGTTGGGAAGAGACTGGATCCATACCAACAAGTGTGTCCCATCTTCGCTTCATCAATGTTTGATGTTCTGGAATGAAGAAGGTGTGGTCGAAGTAGTAAAAGCAGACGCCAAGCATTTTGCCGTGGGAGCCAACGTGGCCGAAGCTCCATTATATGATGGAGACTTTGGGCCACTTCAAGTTAGTAGTATGGATGGTGGGTCTTGCACCGTGGTATTCTCAAGTGCCAAGGTTTTGAGCAAAGCTTGCATCAATCCACTCTCAGAGATAGTGAGACCATCTATGATATCTCTTGATGGTCCACCTAAAGCTGAAGCAAAAGATGATGATGAGTAAGCCACAACAAGACAAGGTGGCGAGGGAGGCCGAAGTCACGGCCTTGATGGGGAGGTTGGCCATTTATCAGTTTGAACAGAGGCTAGCTTGGGAGGAGCTTGTGTTGGTGGCTGACTGTGTTCCCGAAGAGGATTCGCCTGAAGAAGGCGAGGGGCCAAGTATGGCTGAGGAAGAAGAGGATCACATGACTTCTCGTGATATCCTAGAAGAAATCAATCTTGGCACTGAAGAGGACCCGCGCCCAACCTTCGTCAGTGCCATGCTCTCTGAGCAAGACAGGTACGAGTTAATAAACTTATTGAAAGAATTTAAAGATTGCTTTGCGCGGGATTATCATGAAATGCCTGGTCTAGATAGAAAGTTGGTAGCGCATAGATTGCCAATTAGTCCTGGTTTTAGGCCTTACAAGCAGCCGCCTAGGCGCTTTGCTTACGAGGTATTGCCAGAGATAAAGAAAGAAATTGAATGATTGTTAAAAGCTGGGTTCATAAGAACAGCTAGGTATGTGAGGTGGTTGTCTAATGTAGTGCCAGTTAGAAAGAAGAATGGTAAGATAAGAGTGTGTGTAGATTTTAGGAATTTGAATCTAGCCACTCCTAAGGATGAATACCCCATGCCAGTTGCTGACATGTTGCTCGATGCAGTGACTAGGCATGAAACCTTTTCTTTTATGGATTGTTACTCAGGCTATAATCAAATTTACTTGGCCGAGGAAGACATCCACAAGACCACGTTTCGGTGTCCAGGAGCGATTGGATGCTACGAATGGGTGGTCATGCCTTTTGGGTTGAGAAATGCGGGCGCCACTTACCAACGAGCTATGAATACTATCTTTCATGACTTGATTGGTGAGTTGGTGGAGGTGTATGTGGATGACATCGTTGTCAAGTCCAAGGTAGCAAGACAACACCTCTCTCATTTACGCATGGCTTTCTTACGTATGAGAAGCCATCAATTGAAACTAAATCCACTTAAGTGTGCATTTGGTGTGTCCGCAGGTGATTTCTTAGGGTTCCTTGTGAGCCAAGGTGGCATTGAGGTTGACAAAAGCAAGACCAAGGCCATCATAGAGGCCATGCCACCACGTGATAAGAAGGAGCTGCAGGGGTTCCTCGGCCAAGTTAACTACATTCGACGCTTCATCTCGAATTGTGCAGGCCGGACTCAGGTATTTTCCCCGTTGCTGAAGTTAAAAAAGGAGGAGGATTTTGTATGGCGTCAAGAGCATCAACAAGCTTTTGATGACATCAAGAGGTACTTGGCGAGCCCACCGGTGCTCAACTCTCCCATTCCACGTCGGCCTTTAAAGTTGTACCTTTCAGCCACTAACACATCTATTGCGTGTTTGTTGGCTCAAGACAATGATTCAGGTCATGAACAGGCCGTGTATTACTTAAGTAGATTGTTGAACACGGCCGAGCAAAAGTATTCTGCCATAGAAAAATTGTGTTTGGCTTTATATTTTTCATGTATGAAGCTAAGGTACTACTTGATGCCTATTCAAGTACAACTCATATGTAAGACCGACGTAATTAAATATATGTTGTCCCGACCAATCATCCATGGGAGGATTGGTAAGTGGACACTTGCACTATCTGAGTTCAATTTACAGTACGTACCACAAAAGGCCATCAAAGGCCAAGCCTTAGCCAATTTCTTGGCCGACCACCCATGTGTGGACGTGCCTCCGAGTTAGTAGAGATAGGGATGGTTAGTGAAGCCCCTTGGACTCTATACTTTGATGGTTCGAAGACACGTTCGGGAGCAGGGGCTGGGGTGGTGATCACTGCCCCATCCGGGCGTGCCATGTCTTTTGCTTTTACTCTTGATGTTCCATGTACTAATAACCAGGCCGAGTACGAGGCCTTGGTGGTTGGGCTGGAGATGCTTGTCGATTTAAAAGCTAGGAGTGTTGACATCAAAGGAGACTCACAATTGGTAGTCCACCAAGTACTTGGTGATTTTTGTTGTGTCAATTACGTGTTAGAGACATACCTCGAGTATGTCCAAGTCCTGATAACTCATTTTGATAACGTATCTATCAAGTTTGTGCCTCGACAAGACAATGGCAAGGCCAACTACTTAGCACAGCTGGCATCAGGCTTTAGGGAGTTCTACCATGAGGGGGGAGAGCAGATCTTCGTACAAACACTTAGTCCATTGAGAGAGCGTTTGAAGCAAGGAGTAAAAGTGTTCCAAATAGAAGGAGAAGAACCCAAAGATTGGCGTACTCCTTTGGTGGCTTACTTGAAAAATCCCAATGGGGATGTTGACAGAGCCATCAAGTTTAAAGCTAGGAACTATGTGCAATTAGATGAGGTCCTGTTCAAAAAGAGACCAGATGGTTTGTTGTTGAAGTGTTTGGGGGGCAAAGAGGCTTTGAAAGCCATGGGAGAAGTCCATGAAGGCATTTGTGGTGCTCATCAAGCTGGACCTGCCATGAGATGGGTACTTCATAGGTATGGCTACTACTGGCCATCCATTGGAGAGGATTGTGCCGCATTTGCTAAGGGGTGTGAGGCCTGTCAGCGACATGGCCCTGTCCAAAGAGCTCCTGCAGTTGATTTGAAGTCCATCATCAAGCCAAAGCCATTCTTTGGTTGGGAAATGGACCTGATTGGGAAGATATACCCCGCGTCTTCGGACAAGCACACTTTTATTATCTTGGCAACGGACTATTTTACAAAGTGGGTGGAGGCCAAGCCAATGACGATGGTAAATCAAGTTGAAGTGATCAAGTTTATAAAAGAGAACATAATCCATCGGTTTGGATTGCCTGCTACTATAACAGCGGATCAAGGTACTGTGTTTATAGGAGGGGAGGTGATGGAACTTGCTCAGGAATATGGGATCAAAATCATACATTCCACCCCATACTACGCTCAGGCTAATGGTCAAGCTGAAGCATCCAACAAGGTGGTGAAGGGAATCTTGTCTAAAATGATTGAAGATAATCCTAGGAAGTGGCATGAGCACTTGTCAGAAGCTCTGTGGGCTTGTCGGATGTCACCTCGTAGTAGTACAAAGGTGACACATTTTGCTTTGACATACGGCCATGAAGCTTTCTTGCCACTCGAAGTGACCGTCAAGTCATTAAGATACATGCGTCAACATGAGCTCACGCCCTGTGAGTATTATGAGTCCATGATGCTGGAGTTGTGTGATCTTGATGAGGTTCAACTCAAAGCTCTTGATAACATTAGAGTTCAAAAAGATAGAGTGGCACGAGCTTACAACAAAAGGGTGAAGCACAAATCACAAATCATTCGAAGAGGGTGAGTTAGTATGGAAGTTGCACTTACCCATCGGGGACAAGGATCCGAAGTTTGGAAAATGGTCTCCAAATTGGCGTGGTCCTTTCATTGTCCACGCCACCCGTCCCAACAGGGCGTATCTTTTGAAGGATATTGATGGGGGTATTACATGATCGTCTCATTAATGGAAAATATCTTAAACCTTATGTCCCTTCACTTTGGGACGTGGGGTGTCAGCAAGCTTGATTTCACTAAGGCATTTGGAGTGGCGTGGAGGTCAGACGATGCCATGCCATGCCAATTTAAAGTCAGTTTTGTGGTTAAGTGTTTAGCCACAAGGATAGGCACGGGGGGAACTTGATTTCACTATTGATTGAGTAACGAACTAACAAGACGGAGGAAGAATGAAAATGGTAAATGGCTCTAGTTAGCATGATGTCTCCCTTTGAGTTGGATTAGTGGCCGAGCTAGGAGGGGAAGAGTTGCTTGCTCCCTGCCGCAAACATGGGATGAGGAGAGGGCAATAACGAAGATCCATTAAAATTCCATGATCACATTGAGCCAAAATTGGGATGAGATATCATTTGTTCCTGAGCAAAGTGATCGAATTACATGCCCAAAGCGTCATTGAAATTGGGAAGTTGAATGGAGTTAAGTAGGTTTGCTTCCAAATTCATCTTGAAGATCTAGTAGGCGTGTAATGAAGAGGCAGGTCATGTTGTCTTGATTAAAAGAGAAAAATTTGGCTAAGGCACGAGACAAGCTCTGACGTCTAGTTCCATCTAGGAATGGAACAAGCCTCGATTCCAAGGGGATTCAGACCAGCTTTGATGTCAAGTCCCAGCTCGCCATGTTGGTTTGACGTGAAAACCAAATTTTGGCTAAGGAGTGGGCTAAACTTTGACGAAGAGTTCCATTTAGGTGTTTGGCTTGATCATCAAAAGCCAAAGTTTGGCTAAGTACGGGAGCCATCATATACTTTGAACCACATGGCTAGCCTAGGGCGTGAAAAGAATGTGGACGAAAAAAAAAATTTAACAACGGCCATACGAGAATCAATCCATGAAATCCAAATAATTTAAGAAAAAAAAACCCAAAAGCCACAACAATGGCTAAACCGACTGTTCAAAAGTATGAGCAAAACAAAACAAAGATGCTTCAAGCGTCAAGGGTCTTGATGATCTCATCGAAGCTAGCCTTCAAATTGGCGAATTTGGACTTATTCTCGCGATCCGTCTGGATAGCCTTAGCTCGTTGAAGGCCAATTTCATTCGTAGGCATGAGAGATTCTTCTTTCGCACGAAGAGCACGGATCTTGGTTGCTGACTCATGAAGATCTCGTGCCAAATTTTCTTTTTGAGTCCTCCCTCGAGTCTCTTCTTCTTCCAGACGTTGGAGCTCTGCCTTCAGTTCATCAATCCGTGCCTTGCGGGTAGCTTCCGTAGCTTGAAACGAGGCCACCTCGCTTGATGTAGATCTTCCTTTAGCCAACTCATCTTGAAGAGAGGAGTGGGTGGTGGCTTTAGTCTCCTCTTCACGTGCCAACTTGTCCCGAAGCTCGCGAGCACTCTCAATGGCGGCAAACCATGACTTGATCTCCGAGGAAGCGCTCTGCATTAGTAGCATCTGCTCCATATCTATCCCCGGGATCGGGAGGTGCAGCTCGAGCTTGCTAAGGAGGTCGAAGGCTTCTTGAGGCCACTTTGTGTCTAAAGCACCCATGGCTTCTTCAGGGGAGAGGGTAAGGAATTCACCTACTGCCGTCAGAGCACCCTTGATGGAGGAAGGAGAAGGATTGCTGGTGGGGACAGGAACCTCCGTAAGGAATTGACTCTCAAAGTCTTTCAGATATGCGAGGTTGTCATCAAGACTGGCCATGCCCTGTAAAAATAAAAAAATAAAAAAAAAGAGAAAGAAAAAAAGGGTGAAGTACACTATGACATGATTTGGAATTAGGAATAGACAGACGGAAAATAGATATACTTACCAAGTCAACAGGGCTAGTTGTTCGAGTAATAGGTGGATTCTCAACGAGGCCAGCTTGGCATCCTTCCTCGGCAGGAATGGTAGTTTCCCTCGGCGTGGTTTGCACTCTTTCACCTGACTCCCCTAATTCGTCAGCAGCCACTTCATTAGTTGGGGCAGAGACCAAGGTGTTTGCGAGCAAAGCAAAGGCATTCTCGCTGGTGGTAAACAACTCAGACACGGCAACACCACTCGTGCCTTCTGAGGTCATGAGATGCCTAGTCACGAAATTCCCAAAGCCGAGTTTGTCAGGTGGGGTTGGAATGGTAGTTGGCTTCGTCGTAGGAACAACTATGGGGCTAGTCGCTTGGCTCGTGACGAGGTGAGGTGTGGAGCGAGCAGGCTCTTCGTGAGCCTCAGAATCGGTCGTAGAGAAGTTGGCCTCAGAGTCTGAATCTTCCACGCTAATTGGCTGGCGACCCTTGTCACCAACTTCTTCGTAGTCCGCTGCGCTTGCATCATGGGATCCATCATCCAGCTCCACTGTTTGTGACTACACATGAAATGACGGAGAAAGATAAGAGAAGGTGGCATGAGTAGTATCACATTAAGAGTATGAGATGGGGCTTAACACTTACATGCTCACTCTCTTGGGGTTGAGTACGTTTTGGTGGCCTTGGTGAGGATTCATGTTCCTTAAGTGCTAAAAGCCAGAAAAATACGTCAAGAGGCCATATGCTTGTTAAAAAAAAATAGAGAGATACGAGAAAAAAAAAGGACTAAGGGTGAACTAGGAAGACACTTACATAAACGACGTTTGACAGGAACTTTGGGGGTAGATGCTTGTTTTCCCTTGTCTTCGTGAGTTGATGCTTGACGTCCCGAGGGAATACTCACCGGTTTGTTTGGGAGTAAGCCTCGTGCGATCTGGACTGGATTACCATTGAAGTGGCCAAGGGCTTCTAGTTTGTTTGGGAGCAATTTTCCAAAGGTCGTGGAAGTGCGATTCTCTAGATATTTGAAGAAACTGAACTCGACGCTTGCTAAGAGTTTGTCTTGCCATAACTTCAAGTTGCGTGCTTCATCACTATGCAAGTTCCTGCGGCCAGTGGGATCCATGAGTTGAGGAGAATGTGGCATAGTCAAAGGCCATGACTGGACAAGACCGAATTGGCGAGCAACATAGTGTGGATTGTAGACTTCGGAGGTAGCAAACTTAGCGCCAATTGGGGTGAACACTAAATCTCGCGGCAGTAGCCATCTCTTCCATTGGCGTACAAATTTCTCATAGGGTCGCCACGGACTTTGTGGTTTCTCCTTAAAAGGGGTGATGAAAGATTTAGACCCAAGGAGACGCTTTGAGAAAGGAGAAAACGTAGGTATCATGCTAAGTTGATAGAAGTATGAGAAGCAGTCAACAAAATCTCGTTCCAGTGGTCTGGCTTTGATGAGGTAGTGGCCGTATGAATCGGGGAGGGCATCTGGGTTAATCTTGTCTAGACTCTGAAGATAACCACGTCGTCCTGGGAAGTACGCGTAGATCCATAGGAGCACAATCCACAAGGGGCCTGAACCATTAGTAGTAGCACCCATGGAAATTTGATGATGAAGTGAATACATACCATGGTAAATATGGGCCAGTATAAAATCTGCAAAGTCACGACCACACCATCCCTCGGCAAGTCTATGAGAAAGATCACAGAAAGAATGGCGAGGTGAGCCTGAGCTGGGACAGATGATGAACTTGTAGAGCCAAAAGTGGATGAAAGCAGCCCGCTCTTCCTGTGTCACAGGAGTTTTTTCGTCAGGAGGTTGATATTGTTGACGAAATGCTTGGAACGACAATGGGGGGAAAAGTTGTGTGTTCTCCGGGAGCTCGAGGCGAGATTTGGTTGCTGATTCGAAGCCAAGACTAGTTAGAGCAGTGATGTCCATGAGAGTAATGGTCATGGCCCCAATTGGGAAGACAAAGCAGTTGGAGGCAGTAGACCAGAAGCATAAGGCCGCCTTGAAGAGGGCAAAGTCGGGTTCTCCAATTTTGGTGCAAAGGGATATCAGTCTCCAAATACCGGAACTCGTCCACAAGCGCGTTGTCGTCACATCATTCTGAAGCCTTTTGAACCATCCATTGAAATCTGGGTCTCTCTGAGGCCAGGAACCCACTGGTTTTTTAGAGCGCTTCTTGTGAACGAAAAACGTCGTGGAAGGAAGGTTCATCTTGTATAGCAGTCTCCCTTGACCGAGCGGGTAGCGATCAAGTTGGCTTATAGGGCCGCTTCGTGCTTGGATCAGGTAAGGTCCTAATCTACCCATGCCATCTGCTTCGACTTGCAAGGTATGCATGAAGACCCCTTTATCGCGAGCGAGAAGGTCGTATTCCTGTTGGTAGACGCGAGTAGCCTCCTCGACCTCAGCTTGATTAATCTCTTCTTCTTCTCCATTTGACATCCTACAAAACCGCACAAGAAGGATGAGTTTTCCATGTAAAAAAAAAATGAGAGCTTTTGGCCGCAGGCCATTATAGGTGGAAGGAGCTTGGATTTTCACCTCGATTTGATTGATGACTGTGTTTACTCCTGAGAACTCTATGGGGATTTGCGTGGATGAGGATGAGAAGAATGAAAGGGGGTGCTCTATTTATATAGTTTATGGCGAGTTGATTTGGAGTATCTTTTCTGTTTTGGAGGAGGATTTGTTGGTAAAAGAGTCCAATAAGGAGAAGGAGACTTGAGTACTTATCCTTTTCAAGCAAGGAAAAAGGGTCTCAATAATTGTAATTAAAAAAAAAAAAAAAAGGGGCAGATGTCTCTCGGTCAGTTGGCAGCCGAGGTGGACAAGGAAAGGAAGAGGGTTTTGACGTGGCTATGTAAAAGCAGGCTGTAAAAAAAAAAACCTGTATAGTCTCGTATGTTGCCGCCGAAGACAAAGACCGGCGAATTCCCTTTGGATTGCTTGACGGCTAGGCGCTAGCACTGATAGAAAATTTTCATAGCCGTATATTGTTGGTGGTGAGTGAATTTAATTCACTAAACATGTGACCCAAATCTACTTGCCACTTGCCAGCCACGTGAAGGAGAAAGGTGGTTAGGTAGCTAGGTGTTGTCAAAGCTTATTTTGGCTAAGTAGTGAGACAGGGCATGTGTTGTTATTATATATGGTGTCAACTACTTAGTCCATAATTCTTATGCATTAAGTAGTTGGGGGGCATTTGTTTCCAATGGTCAGCCCAATAAAACATCATCCAAAATAAAAGAAAACAAACCAAACCCAAATCGGGTTACAATCCGACTCAAAACACAAGAAAGAAAATCAAACCGTGGTGGGGTTGCCTCCCCACAAGCGCTTCTTTACCGTCGTTTAGCTGGATGCCCATGGTGTATACTCAGGGCGGTGCAGGAACAGGTGCCTCCAAGAGCGGATCCACGTCGCTCTTGAGGTACAGCTTAAGGTTGTGGCCATGCACCCGACGGATGCGACCACCATCATCAGTCAGCTCGACCTGGCCATCTGGCAAGATGCAGGCGAGTGAGTACCCGGACGGCCAGGGTGGTCGTGGTGCAGGCGGTGGGACCAGCTCATAGTGGTCTCCAGTCTTCTTCCGTGCAGGCTTAGCAACCTGCTGCTTCGGCCGCCACTCCTCCTTGAGCTTTTTGTTCGGAGGCGAGGCTGGATGGAGTGGCGGCGAAGGAATGATAGGAGGGTCCTGCAAAATAAGAGGTGCAGAAGGGTACACGACAGGCTCGTGTACCTGATCAGAAATGGCATGCACAGGCGTGACAGCAATCATAGCACAGTGATCAAACTCAGTCACAGAAAAAGTAGCATGTTCATTCCCAGCACGCAGGATCAGTTTACCATCATGCACATCAATAAGTGCCTTGGCGGTGGCAAGAAATGGCCTACCTAGAATCAAAGGCACATCCACATCCTCATGTATATCAAGAATAACAAAATCAACAGGATATGTGAATGCACCAACACTAACAAGCAGATCCTCTATGATTCCCCTAGGATGCACAATGGAACGATCAGCTAGCTGAATGCTCATCCTAGTAGGGCTAAGTTCACCTAGCTCTAGCTTTTTATACAACTTATATGGCATGACGTTTATGCTAGCGCCTAGGTCCGCCAAGGACTTGCCTACATGCATGCTGCCAATAGTAAGAGGGATAGTAAAACTCCCTGGATCCTTGCGCTTTTCGGGCAGCTTGTTCTGCAGGATAGCAGAACACTCCTCGCTCAGCAACACTGTCGAGAGATCCCCAAGTTTCTTCTTGTTGGAGAGGAGATCTTTCATGAACTTTGCGTACTTGGGCATCTTCGACAGTGCCTCCACGAACGGTATGCTGATGTTGAGCTGCTTCAACATTGCCATGAACTTGGCAAACTCAGTCTCCAGCTTGTCTTTGTGTAGGCGAGTGGGGAAGGGAAGCTGGGGCACATGCTCCTTAACCACTGGTTGTGGCTTGAGAGCAGGGGCTTCCTTCTCCACCCGCACTTCTGCATCGTCGGCTGGAAGTGCTGAAGCAGGTAGTGGTTCCTCCTGTCTGGCCGGGATAGGATCAGCAGATATGGTCTTACCGCTCCTGGTAAAAATGGCATCCAGCTGCTGATGCTGGTGAGGATCTCGAGGATTCGGGACAGTGGTGACAGGCAGAGTCCCCGGTGCCCTGGTGGTGTTTTGGCGGGCCAAGATGCCCACCTGGGTCTGCAGATCCTGCAAAATGGCACCCTGGTTCCGCTGACCTGCCTCTAGTGACGTGATAGCAGCCTGAGTGCTAGTCATGAATGAAGCTAGAATGTTTTCCAGCTTCGTCATCCTGTCATCTGGGGCCGGAGCTGCTGCTGGCTCGGCAAACTGGGGCTGGGGCTGCTGGAATGGCTGCCCTTGCCTAGGCTGGTAGGGCTGCTGCTGTGGGTCTGACCCCTGACGAGCTTGGAAGGGCTGCCTCTGCTGAAAACCACCTGCTGGTGCTGGAAAACCAGGTGGTTTAGTGGTGTTGCTGCTCCAGGCGAAATTGGGATGCTGGCGCCACCCCTCATTATAGGTGTTACTGTATGGATCGAGGCGCCGCGCATTGGCGATGAAGGCCAACTGCTCCTGGGGTGTGGTAGACTCCCTCATAGCCTGGTAGTCCTCCACTAGGTGATTGGAGATCTCGCACCACTGACATTGAGCTACTGGAGGTGTAGCCAAACCTCTGCCCGGAATCAGACTGTTGGGCTGCTTCAATGTCTGCACTAGCTCAGCTACCTGCTGCTCGAGCCTTG